TTTTAGGGTTCAGAGGATCAGATCTTGTTTTAGAGCAACTCTGATACTGCTTTGGAACTTTTCTTTGAAATGGAATTGGTTTTCAGTTTATCCATGTCTATATTTTTATGTTCCTTTTAACTCACTAGTGTGTTTCACATGCATGATTTCACTTGCCGATGTGAAGGGGTAGGCCATTTTTCTGGATTTGGGGGTTCTGGGCAGTTCTGCGAATTTCCCTTAATGTGGCAGTGCAGGCTGCCTCTGGGCTCTTCATTCCTGTCCTCCTCTACCTTCTGGGTTTTCCGGTGTGTAGTTTTAATTTGGTAAATACTTGCCATTTTAAATCTTGTCTTGAAAAATCATTGCAAATCATGTAGAATATCTTCTTGGCTTTAAAAAAAATGTATATATGCCTTAAGGTTAGGTAGAGAAATGCCAGGAACATGAAGTAACTTTGCAAAGGGCTCCTAGATGGCTGTTCCTTCCTGTGCCATCCCTTGTGTCTTTATGTAACTTGTGCCAAACAGGAGGTGTTTTCTACTGTGAGAGGCCCAAACATATTTACCTAAAAATCTGTGGAAATTATTTATCTTTGGGTAATTTCAGTCCAGTCCCATGTGGGTCCTGGTCTGTAGTCAAGGGAGAATAAAGTTATCCAATGTTACTTAGGTTACTTTTTTTTACTTAAAGATGAAAGGGAATATTGTAAAACTGGTTATTTCCTTATTAAAAGTTTTTTGGGAGTACTTGTGTATTGGTTTCTTTAAGGTCTGGCATCTAGGACTGTGATTTACTTTTTGGAGTTATCATACCACACAGTAATCATTTGTACATATTCATAATGAGCTGTCACTGTGGATTTTTTTTTTAAAGTGGATTAAAAACATTGTGGAGTTCACCTGCAAATATATTTGAAACTTTTGGTAATTTTTTTATGAAAAAATAATGATGAAATATAGCTAAAATATTTAAAAAGCAAAAATAATTGTATTATTATTATTTTTTAAATCTAAGCCAAACATGAAAAAGTAAAGGTAATGAATGGGCAATGCCAGCATGTTGGCGCCCCCTGGTGGACATATTAGATTGCCAGAGTCATCTTTCATACAAAGGAAACTTTAGGAACTGACTGTAGAAAAAGGTAAGGTAGAAAGACAAAACAAAAAACGACTAAAGGGGGAAAAAGAAAAAAATTGAGACTGAAGAGAATTCATTCATTTATTGTAACTTTCAAAAGTCAGGGAAGAGCTCTGAAAACGCAGTCATGAAAATCCAGTCATTGTAGTGCCAGCACGGACGGAGCTAAGCACTTGGGAGAGTTAATTGGTAGAAGATATCTACTCAACAAAGTAGGTTCTGTTATTTTCCCCAGGTCTAAAATACTGAGATTTCATAGTTTAAGTAACTGGCCTGGAGTTAATTTGCCACTTTATACTGGACTGGCTGACTCCAGAGTCTAAACTTTTAACCGTTTCACACTACTTCTATGTTCATTATTAATAATAATCATTGTGATCTTTGTAAACTAGTAATACTTTCAACACAAATTCTTCTTTCATTGAATCTTTGGGAATAAACAAATATTAAGTATTTGTTAATATTAATGTATCTCTACTACTACATAGAAAGGTTGAAAATTTTGATTTAAAAAAGCATTAATGGATTAGATATGTTTTCTGTACTTTGAAAAAATCGCATTATTCAAAAGTGGGTTTGATTCAAGATGCTCTAATTTCAGGGGTAAGATACGATGTATTCATTGTGTGTGGGAAAGGATAAAGCAATAGTTTGTCTTTTCTAAGTAATGACCATGGATGTATTTCTTTCATTATAAAGTAGTCTCTAAGAAATAGGAACCAAACACTTTATTCTAAATTATGTATGTCTATGTTTTATGACTTTTTTGTTATACAGCTATGGTTTAATGGTTAGAAGCTTCTAGAACATTTTTTTGTATGCCAATATTTTTCAGCACAGTATTATGCAGGAATTTCCAGTTGACTCTCTGCTCTTCCTCAAACCCAAACTGAAATCACAGAAATGGAAGAAATGTGTCCCTTTGCTCTTACCAATTAAAATACTTGTTTCTGTCTTTACTTATATATTTCATAGTTGCTTGAATCCAAAACCACACAAGCTTAAAGTGAAATATAAAAGAGCTAGCTTAGAAAAACATTTGCTCTATGAAGTAATTGTTACTAAATACTACTGGGCCAATAAACTTATAACTTTCAAATGGTTTTGAATGATATTTTTGCTAATGTAAAATTGGCAAAATTTAGTCAATCTCAATAAATGTAGTGGGCGCCCAGGAAAATATTATGTAGGGGGATTTTATTAACTAATATAGCTCTGAGTGATTCCAGTTCTTCTGGTTAACCTCTCTCTCAACAGTTTTATTCTATACATGCTCATGATATTATATTAGTTTGGCCCAGAATTGATTTTATAAATTAGTTTTACATTTTGTTTTTCATATTTTGTAGTTTTATATATTTTTGGCTTATTATTTATAAAATAAGTATTTAATAATTCTTGGTATAGGTGGACATAGATATAACATTTTTTCAAATCTATGAAATATATTTTAATGTTTACTAATTTAAGAAGGACAATAGGAAAAAGAACCCTTTTATTGTTTTCTAATCTGGAATCCCCCCTGCCCAAATACTCTCAATACCTGATATGTTGAAATAATGTAAGATTTGCAGCTATATCCTAATACACACCAAGCTCAGTATTAGAATTACTCAGACAGAAGGGTGTCAAATTGGATCCAGGGAGTGAATGTGAGGCTCTCAGGGGTTTCTGGGAGGTGGGAGCCAGGTTGCTGCTCAGGATTGCCTGGGTCTAACTCCCTTTTTCCTGAGCGCAGATATAGCCGTGCTGACTCCAGGATTGGCTTTAGGAAGGGGAGTAGAGTCAGTATAGCTGTAACTATTTCCCACTAACATCATAGATTGTGAAGAGCGTAGACACTTGAAGAGTGATGAAACCCTAAGTAATAAAGGACTCTGTGCAGCAAACATTTCAGCTTTTCAGGTCTGATTGTGTCATGGGCAATTGACCATCAGGGATTCTTAGGGCCAAAGGACACTGCATTGACACAGCTGTATCAGGTTTGGCATAGAACAGTGTGTGGCCACCTTGATAAGATTTTATAAGGAGATTTAATTTGAACCCAGAACTTGATCCAAATTGATGAGTTTGTATGTGTAATGTATTTGAGTGGGACGTGGGTATAGGTGGTTTCATACTGAACTGTGGTCTATTGAAATGGCACCTTTATTCTGAACAATATTGATCTTAATTGATTGCTTTGAGAGTATACATTTTCTGCCTATAAGGATACAGTTTATGTTATTCTACTTTTTAAAAAATATTTTATTTATTTATTTTTACAGAGGGAAGGGAGGGAGAAAGAGAGAGAGAAACATCAATGTGCAGTTGCTGGGGGTCATGGCCTGCAACCCAGGCACGTACCCTGACTGGGAATCGAACCTGCGACACTTTGGTTCACAGCCCACGCTGAATCCACTGAGCTATGCAAGCCAGGGCTACTTTTTATTTTTTTTATGTTTTTTTTAAATTTATTCTACCTTTTAATACTCAAAACTCAGTTTACTTTTGCTTTATGTTTTAGAGTGCTTATAGGGTGTCCCATATTCACGTTTTATAGTTACTTTAAAATTTAATACTGTATTATATTTTTATCTAATTAATGTAGTTATAAAGGCTTGTGTTTTCAACTGGACTGCACACTCCTGTTGATAGTATTGCTCACATGCAACTTTTGTTCTCTGTAAAGGGCATGGAGCCCTGGCAACTGAATTGAGCCAAATGGAATAAAACTGAATTATAATTTATGATTCAAGTGGATTTTAAAACTAGAACTATGTGCTTCTGTCTTGCACTCTAATTATGGCTAACACACTGAGCAGTATTATATTAATAAAGGCAAGATGCGAAAATCAAAATAATGGCACTCTCCTTGTAATAGAAGATATTTGATCTCACTGATAGCGGCATCTCTACCTCTTGCCTGGATTTACTGACGAGAGCATGGCTATTCTTTGTAGGCCCTGATGATGCTGAGGGCTTTGGAGGAAATGCTGATTTGTGTTTCAGATTCCCTTTCCTGCCAGGTCATGAATGTGAATGTGCATGTGCACACATACATACACACACACGTACAAACACATGTTAATTATTTCATCTGAAGTATCATCAAGAAAGGAGCTAGGGAAATTTAATAAGAAATGAAAATTAATTAGCATAATTAGAACCATCACATTTTGGGTGATAAATAATCATTTTGGTAAATGCATTGAATAGATGACTAGTATTACTTTCTCAATAAATGTATTATAAAGTCATTCTCGAATTTATCAAATCAATATTAATTTCCTCTGAATCTTGCTAGAGGACTTGTACATTTGGGTTGAGCCCTGTGGCAAACCTCTTTTTTTTTTCTGTCTCTCCACACATGGTGGTCTAATTATTCTTTATGATTTTATCAGCAAGGAATCATAGGAGAAATAATCCATATTTTACCTAAGGAGTGAGGTTCCTGGGTGTTTCAAGGCTCAGTTTGGAGGATATTTTTTAATTTCTTCCAGTTTTAATTGTAGGTGTGATACTACGAGGGCCTTTGGAACTGCTGTACTAAATCTGAACTCTTTAATTTCACAGTTTTTATTTGCATTATTCTTGATAAGTAACATAGAAATGTATCCAAATGAAATGTCCTTATTTTATCCCTTATGCTGGTCTGAAAGAAGACCCAAGGTCAATATCCTCATAACTTCTCTTTTTTGAAAGCATTTATGTAATACTTTAAATATCAGTACATGTTCATATAATGTGGGCTCTCATAAATTCCCTATTGTCCAAATTGGATTATTATAAATGGCAGTGTTACACTGTAAATGGTTGAGTTTGAAATTATGCATTATTTACACATTAAAAATCTAATTATGACCTATTCTCTACTAAAAATATACTTTTTTTCTTTCTAGGGAATCCCAGGATTTCCTGGAAACCAAGGATTAATGGGACAAAAGGTGATTATTAATGAAAGTTGAGAGATTTGGCCCTGGTTCTGCTTATTAAAAGGGCAAAGTGGTGATATGTCTTCACATGGGTTACTTTTTCACTGCATTCATGGTGACAGTTACTCGTTCAAATATGACATAATTTTAGAAGTTATTATTTTGACTTTACAAATTAGTTGTTTTACCCAGGTAATATTAGTTTGGATTTCTATACATGCCTCTATTTCACTTGGTTATGTTTCTGTCTGGTGCTCTCAGACCTCCCTTTGGGGTCACTTTACTACCTCCTGAACTAGTTACTTTGAAGTTCCTTTAGTTCAGATATCTTGGTGATAAATTTTTAGTTTTTATTTCATTACAAATATCGTCATTTTACTCTTCTTTCTGAGAGATAATTGTGTAGATCATGCATGTGAAGATTGATGACTATTTTCTCTTAACACATTGAGGAATGTCTTATCTCCTGGCTTCTGTTGTTAACTATGAGAAATCTGCTTTGATTCTAAGCACCATTCTTTTGTAAGTAGTCTGTTCCTTCCCTTGGGATTCTTTTAAGGTACTCTATTTGTTTTTAGTGTCCTTGAAACTCACTGTGACATTTCTAGAGTTCTTTTTATTCATCCTGGTGGGCATTCACTTTGCTTCCTGGCTCTGTGGAATTATTTCTGTTAACTAGAAAACATCAGACATTACCACCAATTACTACTATTTCATTTTCTGTGTTGCTTCTTTTTGGAATTCTAGTGAGATATGTTTTATTCCTTCTGATTTTGTCCTCTGTATCTCTAAGTAGCTTTTTATTTTCATTTCTTTATTCTGTCTTACATTCTGGTAAAGTTTTTGGGGATGTATTTTCCAGTGTACTTATTTTTCCTTTACTGTGTCTAATTTGCTGTTCAAACCATCCACTGATTTTTAAAAAAAGTTTAAACAATCATAGTTTTTATTTCTAGTTCTAATTCTTAATATCTTTTTATTCTTAATAGTATTTTATTCTGATTTCAGTCCTAATAGTCTTTCTGCTTTATTTTTTATTTTTTAAAGACTTCATATGTAGTTCTAAACTCAGTTTCTGACAATTCCAGTATCTGTTGACTTTCCCTCTGTGGCTTCTGCCTCCTCTTTCTTTCTTGTTGATTGTGAGCTCATTGCTCCATCCAGTTGGTGGGAGTCCTTTCAGTCTAATGGGAGCATGGAGAGCTGCCTCCTGCTGGCAGCCTGGGTGCCATCGTAGCTTCCTTGGGAAGTCCAGCCTCTTTCCGTGACTGGTCTGGCAGTCAGTTTCTCAAGTTCAGCTGAGTGTCTCTCTCAGACAACCCCAACCCTCTGACTTCTGCATCTCTACCTCTGACAAGGTTTCTGCACAGTTCCAAATCCTCAGAACTGAAGCCTCAACCCAGAGTATATTTTATTAAAATGAGGGATCTCTGAAGTCCTTACCTTCTTCTAACAAAACCAGCACTCTCTCACAGGGGATACTCTTTCTAGGGTGATGTTGTTCTGGATTCAGAGAATCCTTTGGACCACCTCATGAGCCACAGTTATGGAAGCTGAAATTTACATGCTGTTCTTCCATACCCTCTTTTTCATTAGTTTGTTTTTACTATCATAACTCTTAAATGCTGATAAATAAAATTTTCTGATGTTTCACCCTGTTGTTGCACCTTACCAGCTTGAATGGCAGGTGTAGCACCTGGTTTCCTAATGAACATATTTGATTTAATAATTTCACAGACCTCAGGCCAAATCTTTAAGCTGTTAGATGTCTCAGTTTCCAGCCTTGTTTTGCTTTCTTAAGTAGAGGAAGGGAAGACAAACAAACTGGGCTGATGGGTATTGAGTTTTCATTCTATAGTGCTTTGGTAGGAAATTTCTGGAAAGGGATGGATAATTTCCAATTTTTAATTTGATCTGTATTTGATTTTTAGGGAGAAATTGGGCCTCCAGGACCATTAGGAAAAAAAGGAGCTCCAGGGATACCTGTATGTAAATGTCATTGCCATCAGGTGTTTAAAATGTTGTTACTGTGCACCAGGAGTTCTTCTGGGGCCCACAAATTCCATCCATTGGTGTGAAAAAAAGAATGTTTGTGTCCATTTGTCTAGAAGATTCAAGATTTCTTCAGGTTCTCAAAAAGTTGACCACCCAAATAAAGATCAGAGACCTTACTATAGATAAACCAGAAAACAAATATCTAATATTTCATACATTGTACTATTACTAGTATATTTTACATTTTATAATTGCAATAACACCCTAAATTGACAGCAAAGCATAGTAATGATGACATCATATTTTTAATATGGCCATATTGAGATTATATTTTCTGATGATAATTATTGAATTTTTATTTGGCTCATCACATTTCCTTTGCCATGCTTAAGAGAAAGTAGATGTTTTTAGTATATATGACAGTATTTAAAATAAAAGAAAAGCTAAATCAGGTTCATGTGCTAGACTAGTTATCATTGCCTTATTTTGAATGATATGACTAGTTAAAAATATTGCCATTTTGTAACTTGAAGAGAGATTATTATATTCAAAGAATTTGTTAGATTGTTCAGGAAAATAGCAATTGTAAGTAACATCAATAAAGGTAGCATGTATAAAGAAACCTAATTCTTAGCCCTTATGACAAAAGGAGGCAAGAGTATAGAAAAAAAAAACTTTTCTTTACACCTATGTTTTACTAGCCCTTCATTAATTTGTGCTATTGTAGGTTCTTTGAGCAAAAAAATTTTAAGGGCTCTGCTGGCCTTCTTGCTATCTTGTATAGGTTGCACATTTACTTTATTATCCTTTATTTGAATGAGTGTGAGGACATTTTCCAAGTATTGTATTATATTTTAGAGGACCAATTGTTATGAGAATGTGTAATTTGGAAATGAATTTAATACTTTAAAATGATTTTCTCTATATTTCTCTCAAATTCCCTGTTAAAAATGTAGGGTTCAACGGGAAGTGCTGGCTCACCAGGTCATCCTGGAAATCCAGGATCTAAGGTAAATATAAGAAAATCAGTAAGATTGAGAACTGTGTGCAAAATAAACAACTATGTATTTCAGTAAAAGTTTTAACTGCACTGACTTTATTTTGAATGCAGTTGTTAATTCTGTGAACTATCACTTGTAAGAATAATAATCTTAGGCCAAAACTTTGCATATAAAACAGACTAAAGTAAATTAGGCCTAGTTTAAGCAGGGCAGGTCTGGAAAACCTCACCACTCAGCTCCCTCCTGCCTTCTGGACTTTCAGAAGGCATTGAAGAATATGTAGAGTTCTATAGAGTTCCATGCCAGACCCAATGATCTGTTCTAGAGTATGAATAGTCATGATTGAATACTATCACTCATGCCATTTTCCCAGCCCTTTTCTTGGTATTTTTACTTAGTGGAATGTATATGGAATATTTATTTATGAAATGCCTTGTAGTGAGTATTATTAGGCATTTCTTCCCTAAGGACTATGGGTAAGATAGAATACTATCTTAACTTTTAGAATTTAAAAAAGTAAGGCGAGCTTGACAAATATATTTAGGATGTCAGATCCAATGGTACAAGTGAAATTCTTTTAGAACCATAGTACGACCTTTTTCTAGGTGTATAAAACCCTATGCTGCCAACTTTTTTTTTTTTGCTGTTATTTTTTTAGAGATGAAACTAAATATGTTCTGGCTAGATTGAGGAAACTATTCTCAACCATTTAATGAGTATATTCTAGGAAAAATTGTCAAAAGAAAGTGATAGAATTGCAGTTTTGGAAGCATTCAACCTTTAATTAGACATTGTGCCAGGGGAACAGACCTGGCATACTAAATGATTAGCTGACACAATCTATTCTTAGTTTCCGAAGCATTAGAGAAGAGACAGAATAAAATGTCATGGGAGCCTAGTGGTGAGGGAAAGCTGCCCTTTCCCCACTGGTGGACCCTTGTGGATCCTGGAGCAATGTGGGTCCCAGCTACAGGAGCTATGCAGAGTTGGTATAAAAGCTTTGAGGGACTGGGCTCTCCAAGTAGAGGTTCTTCATAAGTTTTCAAGGCCAATTTTTAAGGAAGATGTAGAATTCTATACCCCTTAAGTATTTGAGGTACAGTGGGCTCTCCCATGGTATGCTGGATGGTCTAAATTCTGAGAATACAGCCTAACATTTCATCAGCTTTTTAAAATTAGCCACTCCATATTGTTGGCTCTCACTGAGCTGAAAGTCAATTAAATCTGCTGGATTTTCCAATAAAAAGACTTTAGAACAATGTGTTTGTGGCATTTGAAGATTCTGTTGATTTGGCTGGGGAGCCAAGTGACTATTTCCAGTATCATGGTTTGTTCTTTTTACATGAATTACTATAAAGTTTGGTTTCTCTCATCTTGTACTTATGTGGTTACTTTCTTAAAAATAGATTCAGAATGTTAAAATTATAACTCTTAATGTAATCTTTTCAGTGAAACATTTTAACTTCTTTGAATGTAGTATAGTAGTTAGTTCAAGTGTTGGGAACTTTGTGAAGGGCCAGTCTTTGAGGGCCGTATAGTCTCTGCTGCAGCTACTCAGCTCTGCTGTTTTAATGCAAACACGGCCATGGACAAATATCAACTGTGTGGGATGTACCTGTGTGCCCCTTAAACTTCATTTACAAAAACATGTGTTGGGCTAGATTTAACCCATGGGCCTAGTTTATTGACTTCTGTATCAGCTTATCTCTGCCAGTGGGGCAAAAAGCTGTATCACAAGGTCAGGCATGAGGCTAAAACTCTGTGGTAGATCTTTGGAACACTTCTAAATTATATGAGAATACCTCTTTTTAAAAGAGCTGTTGAAAAAGTCTACTTTACCATACTATGTCCCAGTTTTTAAAAACATTGTTTAACTATATTAGGTTATATTAACAGAATCAAGTCTTGTGAGTTTTGGCAAGCCTCCTCAGTGATTTTCAGCTTAATCACTTGTAAAATTAGATATGTTAAGGAGCCATTGCTCTATGGTTCAACAATGCTGTTATGTGCTCAATGCTTTAATTAAATCTACATATTAGGTTCACATGTTTGTCAACATGAGCAGCCTGGAAAACATTTCAAAAGCTGAAAACAAGGCTGGTTCCCTTATGGGTGAACCCAGGCTGGCTCTGGGAGATCACTCACTGTCCCTTCCAGGTGTCACACAGACCTGTCTCATTAGGTCCTTGACCAGATGTTGACTCTGTTGTGATTTCAGGAATCAACAATATTTGCAAACCAGAACTACCCTTGACAGTCTCTCCTGGTTAGTCAGCAGGCATGTTCTCTCTTTTATTTGCAATCCTCTTTTCCTGTCTTCCATTCTTTGCTGTGAGCTAGGTCTTGCTCTCCAAGCCTGTTAGAAAGGACTGTGCTGGTATCTTGAAAAAGAGCACAAATTAAACTTTTTCTGATTCATACTTCTTTAAAGAAGTCACTATACATTTGAAGCTAAGTTTCGTTCTTTCAGTTTCATTCTGAAGGTGAGCTATAGTGAGAAAGTGAAGTAGGGCAAAGATAAAAACTTAACCCAGAGGAGGGCTTCAGTCAGTTCAGTGTGGAGACCTCTCTAAGTAGCTCTGGTCCCTAAAGATTGACTCTCTCCCTTTATACTTGGACCTGCCAGTATAACAAGCCAGTAACAGCGCTTCACATATGCTTTTAGAGAGCTTTAATCATGTGCGAACTCATTTCCTTGCATGAAAGAGTTTTTGTTAATGGTTTTTAATGCATAGAGTCTACGTTTCAAACAATTGGAAAGTTGAAAATATAAAAATTATGTTTAAGGCATTTCTGTGTCTATATCACATAAGTTATTACTGAATTTAAAAAAATTCAAATGGTTTGATGCATTGACAGGGGAACAAAGGTGAACCTGGACTTCAAGGGATGCCTGGGACTTCTGGGCTCAAGGTAATTATGATCTGATGCATTTGGAAATATTTCCAAAGAATTATAATTGACATTTGTATGCCATAAGGAAAATTACCTGAAATTAGGAGTGCCTTTGTCACAAAGCTAAGGTACATGAAAGGAAATGACCAATGTGAGCTAATTTCATATCTATTTTTTGGATACTTTCTCATAGTTTGGGTAGTAGAGACATGAAATATGCTTTGACTTGGTTTTCCTAGAAGTGGTGAAAGGCGTGTGCTAATACCGACATTCTCTGGTCTAGAGAATACCACTCCCTCCCACGGCTGGAAACAGGAGTGTGTGGCTCTTGTTCATGGTGCTGTTCCTTTGTTTATTTTCAGAGTGGCTGCCTTTGCCAGTTTCTTCCATACCAAATGGTTTATGTTTATTTCAATGAGATTTTCAGCTTTTAGAAATCTAGAGAATTATTGAGCAGCTCAGGAGAGGGCACGGTGAGCAAAGAGAACCAAACTTAGTTTCTATAAAAGACAGTGATCTTTAGTTAATGTGACAGAGTTTTGGACTGATGGTCAAATACAAAACAAAACAAACAAAACAAAACACAAAAACAACTATGACCATTCAGGATTATGTCCTATCTGTTACAGTTTTAACTAAAAGATGTGGATAAATCATCACTAAATGCTTTCTGAAAACCTCCTTATTTACAAGTTAAAAAAAATACCCCCTATGTGATGATGGAAAGTAGAAAATTTAAGATAACTTAAGGATAATTTTTGTATTGAAACAGCTCAAGAATTTACTTCTAAGAAAATAATATTCCATATGTATAAAGAAAAAATGTAATCATGTGCAAAATTTAACTAAAAGATGTTTACCCCAATATGATTTATAAAAATAAAATTGTAAAAACCAGTGTTTAACACTATTGGAATTTTATTCAGTAAAATATGGTAAATCAATACAGTTGAATACTATCCTGTGATTAAAAATTATGTTTTTTAAAAAAACTATAATGGTATATAAAGAACTTCATAATATTAATATGTTGAAGTAAAAGATGAAAATTATGCATGCATTAGCACGTTAGTAACTAAGTTGTATATGTGTGGTTGTGATAGGTAGAGAGAAAATATATAACAATAAAAATAGTGGGTAATGAGACTTTCAATAATTTTTACTTCTATTTACTTACCAGTTTGTAACAATAAAATGTGTTTTAAAGTAGCAGCATGAAAAAGAGCAGTTTCAAGGAGAAAGAAAAAGTGGTTAGTAAATGAAAAAAAGATACCTATGTTCATTATTTTTACTACTTTACTACTTACTTAATTGAACTTATAAAATATAATAAAAGTATTAAATATTTATAAAATTTTAAAATACAGTATGCTATCAGAACTTCTTAACTAGAAGAAAATATATAAGAGGTTTAATTGGGACTCCAGTAAACTTTTCATTCTTTTTATTCCTGTAGTAATAATTCTAATGTTAATCAATTTTTTAAGCATCAATTTAAAATATGAGATGTATGTAGAAATAAAAACAGTGGTATGCTGTGATCTCTATATAATTTCCGCCTTACCTAGGGAGAACAAGGAGCAGTGGGCCCCCAGGGAGAACCAGGATACTTGGGTTTACCTGGAATTCAAGGAAAAAAGGTATGCATTGTTTAGGAGATGCAATTCACTTCTAATCAACTACTTATATGTAAGTTTTCCTTTGGTGAAAACAGGATAGTAAGACTGGTTATACTTTTCATGATATCAATCATCATCTTCATATCCCTTGCTGTTCGAGTTTTCTTCCGTTTCATTTTCCCATCTCTCATGTATTGTCTACTTGGCCCCTAAATGAGTATGCCCAGTGCGATCCTTGTCCTTTTGTTCTGATGCACAGTAGACAGTGCTCACTGACACAGGTATTATCTTCATAGCAGCAATTAAGTGTCAGACCCTTAGTGAATGTAAATAAATCTACTGTGAATACATATTTAGATTTAAGGATTTCCTTGTTCAGAAATTGGGCATATAAAAGAAAATCTGTATTTTGTTTGCTATAAACACAAAACTCTATGTTTAGATAACATGATGATGTAAAAAAAGAAATTTGGAAAATGTGTCCACGTTCAACTTTGCTTACCTTTCCCAATTTGCAGGTTCATTATATATACTAACAAGGACATTGAATTAGTTGGTCTCTAATGTCTCTTCTAGCTGAGAAATTCTAGGAAACTTATGAAATGTAATTTTCCCCCCAAAACTTCACTTTTGAAGCAAATGTTATCTAAAATATCATTTCAACATTATTTATTTTGTTTCCTATAAATTTGTGGCTACTATGATGTGAATGGAAATTTTCAGTTTGATTTCTTAAAATAACATTTGTCAAAAAAAGTCCTTCCTTGTTTGTTTAACCTCAGATTGCAATCAATATAAAATATTTTCTTCCTGGTAAATTAAAAATAGTAAATTTTCTTATAAATATGAAAGCAAAAGAAAATGTTCATTTAGAACATTATTTTGACAATGTTATTTTATTCTCTTCCCAAGTATTGTGTTAGAGTCAGTTTCTATATGTAAGGCACTTGTGGAGTTTGCATAAGATCATATAATTTTCTTTGCTGAAGAAAAATGTTTTTGTTTGAAACAATACAGAATATACTAGATTATAATACATGTATTTTTGCAGGGGGACAAGGGAAATCAAGGTGAAAAAGGCTTTCAGGTATATTATTGGCTTTTCTCCCTCTTCTTGGCAATAAAATCAGGGCTTTATTCTTCTTAATTCTTATATTGCTTTTCCAGTTCCTTCACCTGTAACTGTCAGTACCTAATTGTTAAATCCCCGCTTTTTCCTTTTGCTACTAAACTTTTCAACCATATCAAGTCTAACGTTAAAATTCTTCAACTACTCTGGCTGGTGTGACTCAGTTGGTTGGGCGTTGCCCTGAAAACCGGAAGATCATTAGTTCGATTCCCAGGCACATGCATGGCTTGTGGGTTATGGTCCCTGGCTGGGGTTCATATAGAAGGCAACCATCAATATTTTTATCTCACATTGATGTTTCTCTCCCTCTCTTTCTCCCTCCCTTCCCCTTCTTCTAAAACAAATCTTTTAAAAAAGGATTTTTCACCACTTCACTGTTATAGAAAACTTGGAAACCAAGTGATTCAACAAAATAAAGATAGAGATTTTATTATATACTTTTAATATATATTGATATATTTATAGTATATATGTTTCAAAATAATTTGAAATGGCTTATGGTGCAAATAATTTGATAAGCAATCATTAACATCAAGTATAAAAATATATTTAATAAATAGGAGAATTAAACAGGAAATTATATCAAACTGAGGAAATCTGTGGTGATGTAGAAGGGCCTTTTGTTTGGGTGTCTTAGCAACAAAGGCAAGGAGAAGAACCGTGCAACTACTATGGAAGACAAGGACATTTTCACCTCAATTTAAGTGGCTGTTGAAATGTTTTTTTCCCTCCTAACTGGACAAGTGACCCATGGATAAGATGTCCCTAGTAGACTCAACGATATACTTCTCTGGAATAAGATACATCTGCTGGCCTTTCAATCTGTTAAGTTTTAGAAATGGAAGATTTTTCCAACCATGAATTACAAATTCAATGTCCAGACAGAACTTTTACAATGTTTTTAAGATTATAAAACTCAGTTACTATGGCTGAATTTTATGTAGAATAAGCTTAATGTAAAAAGAAAAAATACTTTGTAAAATTCCACAGATAGAATTTTGAGAGCTCTAGAATTTTTGGAGGCATAAAAGGAGATTTTAAATCAATATAATTGATAGAGGCAAAATCCACTAAGGTAAGAGTCTAATAGTTGTTTTTCATAAAAAGTCATTTTTTATGAAGATATTCAAGTATTATCATGCTTCCTCTAAGTTAGTTTTGAAATTAGGAGTGAGGTAAATTTTAAGTAAATGTCTGTGAACTCTAGGCCCATATATTCCAATTTCCTTCCTGGTATTGCTTTTGGATATATCATGTACACCTCAACAAGTTCATATCAGAACTTGTCATCTCTCCCCATAAACTGTCTCTTAACCATAGTTCTTTCTAATAGTAATTGGTACCAGAATGCAGTCACATGAGAGGGGGAAAAAAGTCTTAGAAGTCATCTTAAAATCCAGTCTCTTCCAGTTTCTTCACATGTGGTTTTACATCTAAATGTCTCCTGAACATGGCTGTTCTCTCTTTCCTGTCCCTACTTATCAGTGCTCCTGGATTACTGTGATATTTTCCTAACTGACCTATTTGGATCCAGTCTACTCCCTTTCTCCCACCCCCACACACTTTTCCCAGTGTGCAATAACTAAATTACCTATCTGCTTAAAAATTGCAGAGTGTGCTCCATAAAATTTAAGATAAAGTCTGATCCATGAAGTTCATCCAGGTATGACTGAATCTTCTTCAGTCTTACCTCTTGCCACTCTGTTCACTATTATCCACTCTTGCTTTAGTCAAGAGGAATACTTGCCTTTATCCTGTACGTCTCCCTGGTACACACTCCTGCCTTTTCTTCTTTTGGCTACCTCTTACTTGTTGCAAAAGGCTGCACTCAAGGTTGAGTCATTTTCCCTACCGTCTCGTCCTGTGAAGATGTCCCTTCCTGTGTTTCAGATGTTTAATTATACTTTGTGCATTTGTCAGATAGTATTTTCATTATTCTACTTAAAAAATTTTTCATCCTTGATTTACTTGCATCTTTCCCACCACTTAGCAAGCAATTTGAAGGTGATAATGATACTGGGTTGGCCAAAAAGTCTGTATGTTTTTTCCATAAAATAAAAGATACATTTTTCATTTTCACCAATAATTTTATTGATTTGGATAGTATATCAGCTGCCTCCTGCACAATATAATGTTGATTGTTCTCAATTAATGTCCTGATTTGATTGCTATCAACTTTAGCTGGTCTACCCGACTGTGGAGCATCGTCCAGCAAGAAATCTCCAGCACGAAACTTTACAGACTACTTTTGACCATGTTCAATCAGTCACAGCACCTTCTCCATACACTGCAATTTTTTTTGCATTTCAGCTGTGTTTTTACCTTTTTTGAAATAATAAAGCATAATATGACAAATGTTATGTATTTTCTTCCATTTTCAATATTAAAATGGCTACACAAAAATTCACCAATTTTGATAAGTTTTTTTAAATGCATGCTGATATGACAACTGTCACAATCCAATCCAACAGATTGTTTCAGAGGAAGTTAAAGACAACTAAGCGCTACTAGAGCCATCTTATGGAAAAAAAAAACAAATGAACTTTTTGGCCAACCCAATATCTTTGTTTTAGCATCCCCAAGGTCCAGCAAACAGGTGCTTCTCAATAAATACTGGGAATTCACTTATGTAAGAAAATGAACAAATCACTATGGAAAAGTGATTTAATATTTTAGTCACTAGATCTTTGATTACATTATCAAGGCATATGTTTTCCTAGAAACTGCTAATTATCTTGTTCATCCTAGGAATGAAGTAGTACTTCATGGTCTAGTACAATGTCTTTTATATGGTGGATATCCAAAAATATTTATTGACTGGACAAATGTTTTTATATATTTACTAATTTTTCTCTCTTCTTATTTGTTCTTATTTAAGTATCTTCACTCATAATATTTTTGTAGTATATTTTTAATTTTTAAAAATTCCTTTAAAGAGGATTTATTGTCCTCAAATGTGTATAATAAACACTGAACATAATTATGTCATTTAAATTAATTTAACATTTAAATTAACAAAATGTCCACAGCCATTTAATTTTTAAAGTACTTTCAGGCTGTTAATGGGGACTCGTGGTCCACTTTAGATACATTCTCAACTATCTAAAATTATTTACATGTTCTCCCAAAGTTTATTCCTTGTCTCTATCTATTTTAACTATAAGATTAGGTTAATTTTCCTTTCACTTTTTTTTGCTTTGAGAGACTAACTACCCTATATCTTACATCATTTTACTATTTGCAGTACTGCTTTTGGGACATTTCTTCTAGACTATAGGATAATACACAGTTTGTGGTGTATATGTGATTGCATCATATGTGTGGAAACTAATAATATTTAAAAATTTTTAAAGGGTCAAAGGGGAGAGAATGGAAGACCAGGAATTCCAGGGCAACAGGTATCTTTTTTTTTCTTTGATGGAAAATGTAATAAGAGATAATATAACTGGACAATGCTGAGGGAGAGGTACTTGCAAATAAAAATAGGAGGATCAATGCACTGCACATTCTAATCACACAAGGATAAAAGTGCTAGGTGATGGTGATATTATGTTTAGCTTTAATCTTTTTTTGTTTATTTTCTAATCCCATTTCTATTGGTGTCTGTGAATCTTGCTTTTCAATGCTTTTTTTCTGGCATGTAAATGGCTGAAGGTGGACAATGCCACCCATTTTAGAAGTGTTTGTTGGTCAAAGACAGCCATTCAGTGACAGCACCTCCATATCTACTGTTTAATCTTGATTTTCTTCTCACAGTATGAACAGTCAAGGCCGTGTGTAGTGGAGGAATGTACTTGTTTTCTTGTAGTTTGCTCAGAGATATAAATCACTATGCCAGAGACTTATTGAAATCCTATCTTGAGGCACTGTGCTATGAAACAAATATATAATAAGATTATTTTTCTTCTTCCCTGACTAAAATCTCCTCATTGAGCAGTGTTTCAGTGAGATAACCATCTGGTACATAAGTTCAGTCAGAGCCAAACTGCATCGAATAAAGTATGTGTCCTGTTGCACTACCTCCAGCTCAGCTCAGTTCCAACTTGGTTTGTGTTTAAAGGGCAAGCTGTGCCTATAAGTCCTCCCCGAGGGTGGGCCTCTTTTGCATGTGGGTAGAAGAAAGATTCAGTAAACTACACCAGTTATGGAGACGTGTAGATGAAACTACAGTGATGTCTCAAAGGACGAGGGTCTCTGCATCCTTTACTTGGAGAAATCCGCAAGTCCATGGGGAGCATCCTTAAAAGCATATGGCTGCAGGGTTGTCTGTAACATGGGATGGAAGGTGAGTGCCAGATATTTAAGAAGCATTGAGAATTCAGAAGCTAACAGTAAGCACCAAGGTATCTAAGAGGAGAACTAGATTTGAGTTTCCCTGAAAAATGTCCTTTAATTAGTGTTCTTCCACTTGACTCAAATCCAGTTGGTGATATTACCAACTCTCCCTGTTATCCTCTCTGGCAACATACACTGACCTCTCAGTTTCCCTAAGTTAATCACACAATATCTGTACACAGTTCTTCCCAGAGGAGGACCTTCACTGCTTCATTCATTCAATCTCCCTAGTGCAAGCCTTTCACCAGAAATTGTTACTCACAGTAATTCTCTAAAAAGAAGGATACTTCCTTTGGAATTTGAGCCCATCTTACTGGCTTACAGATGACACTCTCTCCAAGCTTCCCTTAACTGGTTTTGTTCTCACTTCTTAAGGAAAATTGCAAGTCTCCTCCCTAATGTTTGGATTCCCTAGAAAGCTTCTGCTGTAGATCTATTGAAAGCTGCATTTCCCACCTCCAGGGACTGAGCTGACTGGAGGACCCCTAGGGCCAGGACAGTTGCTGCTTTTCAGCAGCTGGATGGTCTACCCAAACTCTTTCAGTAAACAAAGTCTTAGTTACCTGTCACCCTACTAAGTGCTGGACATGTGTAATTTTTTTGGCCTTCATGTTGTGAATGCAGTTCAAGTGAATGTTTCTCTCATGAAATCATCTTACTGGATTCTCGGATGACAGCCAGCTGTTTTCAGTTTCAGCTCTAATTCAGTTCTAGTCCTGAGAATTTAACTACTTTATCTTTCCTCTTACACTGGCTCCATTGTAGGATTATATCTGGTAGGGAATGCTGTGCATTTCTCCAGAATTCTCAATATTTACAGAGAGAGTTTTCCTAAGATTTTTATATGAAAACTAAGTTAGTGTTTTTATGCTCACACTTTAATTTGAGAAGCTACCTTTTTTTGTGCCATATACTGATTTTACAGTTTTTCCCTTTTGTCTAATTTGAATATCCATATTTAAGGAACCAAGAAATAAATAAAAATAAATCTCAAGTTCAAAATTCTTTGTGTGGGATGTTATATACTAAATTTTATATTGACTTGGAGAACACCAATTTTTTTTTATTTTAAAATTGAATAATGAAATCCTATCTATGTCTGTGAAAAACATACCTCTTTTTTTAAACTGATATTGGGTGATTTTAGATGGGCCCATGGGTTCCCCTTGGGTCCATCTTCTTTGGGACTCTTTGAGCTTCCTGGACTTCCTGGAAGTCTATTTCTTTTGCCAGATTGGGGAACTTCTGCCTTATTATTTGTTCAAATAATTTTTTCCACTTGTTGCTCTTCATCTTCTACTTCTGGTACCCCTGTGGGTTGGATGCTGGAATGTTTAAAGATGTCCTAATCTTTATGACTTCTAAATCTTTATGACATGAGGTTCCTAAGCCTCTCCTCATTTTTTTGAATTTTTGTTTCTTCATTCTTTTGTGTTTGGTTGTTTCTTTCTTCCTTCTGGTCCACTCCATTGGTTTGAGTCCCAGTTTCCTTCCTATCACTGTGGGTTCCCTGTTCATTTTCCTTTATTTCACTTAGCTTAGTCTTCATTTTTTCATCTATCTTCACTCAGATTTCAGAGTCTGAGTGTGTGATGAATTTAAAAATGAAAATTTTAATGCCTTTACTGAAAGTTCTTATTATCTATATTATATCATTGGAATAAATATATGTGAAAAAGGTAAGTAAAAAATAATTTAATATAGCTGTCACATGTATCCTTAGCTAGTGATTGTAATGAGTGAGTTTCATGTATGGGCTCCCCATTGTTTGATTCACTGAGGGGAAAAAAGGTATTTTCTTCCCTATTAATCACTTTTAGTATTTTCTTTAACTCATCTTTTTATCAGTAATATGCAATCAAATTTAACTTTAATCCCATGACTGGGAAAATACAATGCTCCTTTTCATCACCGATATACCTTATCTGAATTTTAATTTTCATTAAAATAGAAATATATTTTCTATTAAATGTCAGCATAAAATTTATTACTATTATTATTTTTACATGTAAATAGAATTCAGATAAAATCCCATTCTAATCTACATATTTGGCCTGTAGCATATAAAAATATTCATATCTTAAGAATGATACAGTTATGTAAATTAACATTTTTATATATCTAGTTAGCATATTGCCTAGTCATTAGTCTCCTTTCAAAAAGGCAAAAAAGATCTCTTATATGTGTAATTCTGACCCTAATTGTATCAATATTTTTCAAAGTAAGAATTAAATTGATTAACTCTGTGGTAAGTGGTGCATACCATATGACTAGTACTGTAGCTTGCACATTTGTTATAGCTTTTTTCCTGTTAATTTTCAAAGGGAATTCAAGGTCCTCATGGTGCAAAAGGAGAGGTATGTTTCTTTATATACTATGCTCCCTCTCTTCACTTCTTATTGCCTTTCATCATTGTGTGAATCTAGTGATTGATATCACAAGCAGAGATTGTCTTTTATGTTCTTCAGTGGTTCCTAAATAGTGACTTTCAGGATATGTAAATTCATTCAGTTACAGATGAAATATTATGCATTTGTCAATATTATTGGTTCTTTTAGATTAAGAGCTTATTTTTTCCTGCATACTTTTCAATGAACAATATTATGTGTTTTTGTATATGCCTGTCTCACAAGAATTAAAACTCCTTGAGAACAGGACTGTGTTACATGCATTGTTGTATCTCTGGCACTGTGCATATTGCCTACATAATACACTGAAGAAAGTGGATATTTGCAGTGTTGGATAGATGGCTAACTGACAGTTTAATGTGATATAAAATTTCCCTCCTGATTAATAACAGTAATGCCCAGCTGTTTTCTATATAATACATATATGTTATATATTTATATCCATAACATTGAGGATTTTTAAGATGCAGTTATACCTCCTGAAATATTTAAATAGAACTCTTGAGGATTTCTTTTGCTTTTAGAAAGGTGAAAAGGGAGAACCTGGTGTCAGAGGTGCCATTGGACCAAAGGGAGAATCTGGGATGGATGGCTTGATTGGGCCTATGGGTCCCCAGGGACAACCTGGGGAAACAGGTCCTCAGGGACCTCCAGGATTGGATGGGAAGCCTGTATGTATTCTACTTTCTTTCATAGTTTACATTGCTTTCTACTTGGTATATACATGTTATAACCCGTAATAATCTGATGCAGGGAAGAGAATTTTCAGAACAGTTTATTCGACAAGTTTGCACTGACGTATTAAGAGGTAAGTCTCCAGAGAGTTTTTCAAATTATAAAAGTAAAACAAAATTTTTGGTCGAAATTATAAAAGATATAAGTAAGATAAAGAAGAAAATAAAGAACCCCTGTCTGTTTTCCTAGATTAATATTTTTGTAATTAAGGTAAAATATTAAATGTACTATTTTATAATATTTTAATAAAGCAATTAATCATTTCATCATTAATAAATTTCCTGACATAATTGTGATAATTTAATTCATAAATATGGATGTTTATAATTCACCAAAATTTTCTCCAGGGCACTTTTTACTTTTTTTCCTGTTTTAAGCAGCTGATACAATGAAATTGCACTGAGCAATGACTATTTATTTAATTAAATTCCTAGAAGTGAATTATTGTTCAAAAGATATACATCTATGAATTTTTAAAAAGTATTAGAGATATCATTAATTTTCATTTACATTTAAACATCAAGGGGGTCCTTTGTTTTTAAGCTCAGCTACCAGTCTTACTTCAGAGTGGAAGAATTCGAAATTGTGATCGTTGCCAGTCTCAACATGGTTTTCCTGGAACTCCTGGGCCTCCTGGTCCTGTAGGCCCAGAAGGTCCCCGAGGAGTTCCTGGTTTGCCAGGAAGAGACGGTGCTCCTGGACTAACAGGCGCTCCTGGACACCCAGGTGCCAGAGGATTGAAAGGTACTTAATTTGAGTGCATAAGCAAATGACCAAGAAAGGTAATTTTTTTGTATCCACACCCTAAATTTATTTATTAGAAAATAATTTATTGTTCTTTTCATGATGACAAAATTTTTTGTAAACTTCTTAGTCTTTAAATAATTTATTAACTGAGTTAGAAAACACTTATTCTATTTTCTTGAAGCAACATTTGCAAGTAGAGAGAGATGGGTCAAAATTAATGAAGCATGTGAAGTTAAAATTAGAAAATGTTGAAAATGGACTTAGAAATTTTACTCGAGTTTAATGCCATTTTCTATATTTTGAATTCAGTAATTTGTTATAAAAATTATTCAATTTATTTTTCTATTATAGGAAAAATTATGTTTTGTGACCAAATTTCCTAACAACTTACAACAACTTACTTCTTTTTGCCTTTGAATGTTTACATGAAATGTTGGTTGATAATTCTTCTGTTTTAATTTTGCATGAATGATATAGATGTTTCATTAAAGTAATAAAATAACATGTATGATTAACAGAAAGGGCTAAAAATCCCCAAACCATTTTTTTCTTAATATTTAATCCCTAATAATTATTTCTGGGTCACTGATAATTTTAGAAAGTTTGCTTCAAAAATTGTTTCCCATTTCTAATAATAAATAGGTGGCAAGCTATTTTAAAAAGATGTATTTTTTCCTTTTGATGTGTGTATTAACAGCTTTGAAAGAAACAATCTAGGAGACAGTGATTTTATAGGAAAAACTAGCTTATTCTCATCTTTGATACCGCAGGCTTACCGGGAATAAATGGGGCAAAGGGGAGCCAAGGTTTTGGGTACCCTGGAGAGCAAGGTCCTCCTGGCCCACCAGGTAAGAATTGGTATATGTTCATAAGCATTGCTGCATATTTTACTTTAAGAAAATCATAAATCTATGTCAAATAATTTGAAACCAAGATTCCTAGGTCATCCTCTGCTTGCTGTGTTATATAATTTGTTGCACCTCAGTTTCCTCATTTAGAAAATTGTGATTCATGTCATCTGCATCATGATATTATTGGAAGACAGAATAAGTTGATGCAGATAGTGCTTGCAGAACAGAACATGACAATCACATTTATGTTTTTAATAGATGTGTGCTATTATTATTTTAGATGATGCTATTCATGCAACTTTGGGTCGATCAAGTAACTTAATACTGTATATGTAAAACACTTAGAACAATATCTATAATTGTAGTTCAGTGTCAAAGCAATGTTTGTTAGTAGTACTAGCAGCAGGAAGTGGTAATGGTAGGAAGTGCCCCCAAACCACTCTGCCCCATCCCCTGATTTGAATATTTTGCTTTTGTTATTTTGAGTCATTGACTTTAAAAGGCCAGTATCCTAAATTAATTCTCCTTTCTTTGAGTGTACTAATCAAACTAACTAGGCTATGGTTCACAAATTAGTACTATAACACTTATGGGTATTAATGCCTATTATACTATATATGATAATGACAATGTATAGTCCTTTTTATTGCAAATAAAACACAAAGTGACTTCATTAGACTTTTAGCGCATGTGTGTATATACACACTCACACACACACACACACACGCATATATATATATGGTCTGCCAGAAGTAATGCCTGCTTGAGTGTACTTGGTAGGGTACGTCAATGTCTTGCATGAGATGGACAGCAATTTGAACATTTTGCCTAAAATGTCATATGGTGTGCTTGAGTGTGATATTGTTATGTTACAGAATTACCTGCTTATAGTTTTGTAATAAATGGGGGCATTATTTGTGCCAGGGCCATTATTTGTGCCATATATATATATATATATATATATATATATATATATATATATATAACTTATATATATAAAAGTTTTAATAATATTGACAGAAAATATGCTAAAAGAAAGAAATAAGTTTGGACAACACACAAATTGGAATATTAGAATGTTAGCTCAATGTCTTAATCAGTAGCATAATTGCTATATTAATATAGCTTAACTTGGTTTTTAAAAAATTACTAATTGCTTTTGTGTGGTCCTTTTCAAAATGGAAGGTACATAGAATTAGCAAAATAATACTTGTCATATTAGTGCAAATATGTACCAATTTTTGAGATACTTTTTTCAGTTTAAATATCTTACGGAATCAGCTCTATCACCATCAAAAACCAAACCCTCTGTTCATATGCTGCTGATATCCCATCTTAGGTCCAGAGGGCCCTCCTGGAATAAGCAAAGAAGGTCCTCCAGGAGACCCAGGTCTCCCTGGCAAAGACGGAGATCATGGAAACCCTGGCGTCCAAGGGCAACCAGGTCCCCCTGGCATCTGCGATCCATCACTGTGTTTTAGTGTCATTGTCGGAAGAGATCCATTTAGAAAAGGACCAAACTATTAAGTGTCTAATGCCTCATTCAGCAGCCTAGGCATGGTGCTTTTCTTTTATGGTCTTTTGCATCTCAGGAAGATAACAAATGGTAATCCCTTGAAAAGAAGCTAAAGTACCTCGGTGTTTTTATTGTTATTTTTTTCTTAAGGAAAAAGATATGAAAGGTCACATATACTGATCTTGAAGGATCCTCAGTAAATTGGAGCCTTTAGATTAGTTGCATTAACTAAATCTCAAGGGTTTCTTGTAAGCCCATTTGTTTTAATCCAAGTTGAATATAAAAAACCACCATTGCCTCTTAGCTGGTCCATTTCAGCCACTGTGAAATATTTCACATGCAGCCTCCATGCAGCAGAGTATTCAAGTTCATGTCTGTGTGAATTCCATGTTTCATATCTCACAACTCATACTTCTTCATTAGACAAAACATGAGTCTGGTCGTTGGATATGAGATCAGGGCTGATACTGACCTAGGACTGACCTTATCGCCATTGCAGTCATTCACTCCAGTGTCTGTGCTTACTGTGGGGGGCAGTGGACTACTGGTTGTCCAATGTCTTCAAAATCACATGTGAACAAGATGAATGTGTCTCTGGTTCCATTTGCAAATTACCAAATTTGATTAATGACCAAGCTAAGAAAGTACCAATTATATAGGGGATGTTCAAAATTATGTAACATTAAAAACAGTTTTTAAAAAAGTATCATTATACCTGGTCAATATATTCAAAGCAAACAGAAGTTCAGAAATACTAAAAAGACTTTCTTCTTCATACTTGCTAGGTAATTGGAATGTTTGTTGTATGCCTTCATTTCCCATTTCACTTATTATATGTGTATGTTCATATATGTTAAATTTCATTGTAGCAAAGCTAATGGGAATAAATGCTGTAATCAAAAGGAAACTCCACAGTTTCTAGTATGTCTTGGTGTTTTTAGGAGACTTTAAAATATTATGAATAGTCTTTGGGTACTGTACTTAATGCTTTTGTAAGAACATAATTTGAAATATTTAATCCTTATTATGCTCTAAATTTTATGTTACATGCTTATTATTCAAAGTACAATAAAGTTTTTGTAGACCTGATTTTAGTGTCTTTTTTATACATAGTTTTAACTGATTACTGAGTATATTGTTCATATCACATGGTTGTTTATTCAGTGGATACAAATTTATTAAATTATGTACCCTATTAAATAATGGGCCATTTGAAATAAGAACTTAGAAATTCAGTTGGTGTGCTACTCACCTCAATAGGCTCTGACCAGTGTGGCTCAGTTAGTTGGGCATTGTCCTGTAAAGCAACACATCATTGGTTTGATTCCTGGTCAGGGCATATGCCTGGGTCGTGGGTTTGGTCCCTGGTTGGGGTGTGTAGTAGAGGCAACCAATTAATGTTTCTTTTTCACATGGATATTTCTCTCCTTGTCTTTTTCCTTGTTTTCCCCTCTCTCTAAAAGTAAATGAAATCTTAAAAAAAAAAAAAAAGGAAAGAAAGGCAATATTTGCTTCTTGGCCCAGAAATGGCTGTTGATAAGTATTTACCTTTATTAACATGTAATTCTATCACTTTGATTGGGACCTTGGAAGAAAATGAAATCCATGACATTTGGTAGCTAAATTAGCATCAGGCATGTTTCAATGTTCTCTCTCCAATAAAATCCCAGGTATCTGCTTAGGCCTAACAAGCCTACTACTCCTGCTCATTATGGCATTTGATGTGAATACCTGGTAAAAGAGCAGAATAGGTGGTTGCTATCATTTACTAACTCATTCAACCAGCACTGACTGCAGGAACACTAAGTGCCAGTTACTGTGGTAGGGATACAATAGCAATATCTTACAGTCTGGCCTGAGGGAACTCATGTCTAATGAGTCACAGGTAAGTAAACAGGTGAGTCCTATACATTCTTTCTGAAAAAGGAGAAAGTGCTATAGAAATGTACAGGATAATCCTATGGACTGATTTGTGCCCCTCCCAATTTGTATTTCGAATCCATAATCTTCATGAGACCATATTTGGCAAGGTCCTAATCTGATAGGATTAGCGACCTTATATGAGGAAGAGATTCTATCTCTCTCTCTTTCTCTTTATACATATGAATGTATACACATATGCCACAAACATGCCTGCATATGTGATAGCCATGTGAGCACACAAGGCAGAGCTTCAGATGGAGCTGAATATCATTCTCTGATTCCCCAGTAGAGGGCAGCAAAATATATATAATATTTTTAATTTTATTATCATATATATCTTCTTATATCTGTCATATCCAGGGGTTTCCAACCTGTGGCCCATGGGCCGCATGCAGCCCAGGATGGCTCCCAATGCAGCCCAACACAAACATGATAAATTTACTTAAATCATTATGAGATATTTTTGTGATTACGTGTTGCAATGTATTTAATGTGTGGTCCACAACAACTCTTCTTTCAGTGTGGTGCAGAGATGCCAAAAGTCTGGACACCCTGATTATAAACTATCACTATATATATATATTTAGCCCAAACATTTTTTTTTTTTTAGTTTCTAAGTATGGTTAGACTTATACCCTAAAAATTTAATTATTCCAAAGAAGAAAATGTCATTTTCATAAGTTGAAACAACAGTTAATGAAGCCTTTTATATTTTGATGTCTTGACTTTCTGTTTTAACTTTATATGGTGCAGTTTATTTAATTAAAGTACTCTGGCTAGGAGCTTCAATTAATTCTTCAGATTAAAAACTATTTCCCAAGCAGAGGTTCGAGGCTCATTCCTGGTATTCCTCAGTTACAGGTCTGGTCCATTGTCTAGTATATGAGCTGTGTTGTGCTTGGGGAAGGGAGAAAGTTGTTCTCATCATTACCTAAAGGTTACAATACATAGTCAATCCACATGTCCTATAATCTAGTATAGCACATTGTATAAAATGTCAACACAAGAAATGAGCAGCAATGTGGCTAAGGCATGGGGAGTCTAAGCTTTGAGAATTTAGGGCATGATGGGGTGCAGAGAAGGAAATTCAAATTATCTTTCTGTTCCATTTTAATTTTTGAGGTATCTCCATTCTGCTTTCCACAGTGGCTGCACCAGTCTGCATTCTGACCAACAGTGCACTGTTGGGGTTCCCCTTTCTCCACATTCTCCCCAGCACTTGTTTATTGATTTGTTGATGCTAGCCATTGGGGCAGGTGTGATACTGTATCTCATTTTTGGTTTTAATTTGCATTTCTCTGATAATTAGTGATGTTGAACATCATCTTTTCATATGTCTATTGGTCATCTGTATGACCTTCTTGGAAAAGTGTCTATTCAGGTCCTTTGCCCATTTTTTAATTGGGTTGTTTGTATTTTTGGTGCTAAGTTTTGTAAGTGTTTTATAAATGTTGGATATTCATCCCTTTTCAGATGTATTGGTGAATATGTTCTCCCATTTAGTGGGTTGTCTTTTTTATTTTGTTGATGGTCTCCTTTGCTGTGCAAAAACTTTTTAATTTGATGTAGTCCCATTTGTTTCTTTTTTCTTTTGTTTCCCTTGACTAGGGAGATAGATCAGAAAAAATATTGCTACTAGCAATATCTGAGATTTTTACTGCCTGTTTTCATCTAGGAATTTTATGGTTTTGGGTCTAACATTTAGGTCTTTAATCCACTTTGAATTTTTTCTTGTGTATGCTAAAAGAAGGTGGTCTAGTTTCATTTTTCTGCAAGTATCTGTCCCATTTTCCCAACACAATTTATTGAATAAACTGTCTTTAGACCATTGCATATGCTTGCTTCCTCTGTCAAATATTGACTGTAGAGGTGTGGATTTACTTTTGGGTTCTCTATTCAGTTTCACTGATGTATGTGTATGTTTTTATGTCAGTACCATGCTCTTTTGATTACTATGTTCTTGTAGTATAGTTCCACTTCTGGGAATTTATCCAAAGAAACCCGAAACAACATAATTTGAAAGAACATAAGTACACTTATGTGCACTGCAATGTTATTTACAACCACCAAGATATGGAAGCACCCCAAGTCTCCATCAGTAGAGGAATGGATAAAACAACTATGGGAAGTTTACATGATAGAATACTACTTGGCCATAAAAAAAGAATAAAATTTTACCTTTTGCTACAGTGTTACTGAACAAGTGGGGTCCTGCTACCAACCACCACTCTCCAGGCAAAATTCCAGAGTCAGAGGTTTGATGATAAAGGAAAGGAGTCTTTATTCAAAATCTACACAATTTTGGAATAACAGCTTTCCACATGCATTAGACACTTAATCCTAACAAGGCTAAAATCTATAACTCTTTAGTTATAGCTTTAATCACCTAAACCCATCAATTAAGGCTAAACTCTTTAACTTCTGAGTTCCCCTATTATTTCCATTGTTAGTTTTTAATTATCTCCTTTGTGTAAGACAGTCTAACAGCAAAACAACAAAAGATACATAAGTTACACAATTTTGGAAGAATGGCAGGCTTCTACCTCAGAGCCTGTCCCCTCTAGAACACCCAAAGAAAAATAACCCTCTGCCAGGCCATCTTGATCCTAGGCTGCACCTGGAGTTTCTCCTCACATCCAAAATCCACCCAGAATATTGTCCTTTGAGAAATGCGGGCAGCTGCAGCACAATCATCCAGGCATCCTGGAGGAAGAGAGCCAGAGAACCAGTCTCTGCCTTCCTTTTATTTCAAATCTTCTGTCCCATAATTCCATGCATTCCAGAGCGAGCATTCAGCTTCTCAGTCAATCCTGTCCTAGGCTGTTTACCATTGCCTCAGGCAACCTCTTCCTATGCCCTCTCCCTCCTCTTCCCCAGTAATCCAATCAGATTTCTGTATTAACAACATTGGATGGATCTGGAGAATTTTGTGCTAAGTGAAATTAGCCAGTCAGAGAAAGACAAATACCATATGATTTCTCTGATATATGGAATCTAATGAACAAACTGAACTAACAAACAAAATAGAGACAGGCTCATAGATATAGAGCAGGCTGACAGCTGTGCAGGGGGGTGGGGGAGTGCTAAGAGGGTGGAGGGATCAAGAAAAAAGGAAAAAGACTCATAGACATAGACAACAGTGTGGTGATTGCAGGGGGTAGTATAAGGGGGATAAATGGTAATGGAAAAAATACAATAAAAAAAGAGTCTGTGGTTTTAAGGGAAAAAGACCAGAAATAAACCCATACTTTAGTTAAATTGAGCTGCAAAGGTTTCTCTGGAATGTTTTCACAAAACTTTATCTTAAAAGTTCCATAGAACAATTTATTTTTTCCCTGAATAACATATTTTAAATATGGAACACACTAGTATTTTTGCTTACTGAATTATTTCTATGTTCTGCCTTCCCCAAAGGTTTTTACAGAAGAATTTCAAATAAATAGATATATTTCAAAAGTCCCCTATTTATATCT